ACTGCCTCCTGTAGATTTTTTTTCGTGCTAGAGTCGGCCGTGTTTTAACATGTAACGATCGTACGTTTGAATACTATACAAGCGCCAGTAATGTAGCTCTAATACAAGGGAGATAATACATTTCAGTAGGAGGACAACACCAGTAGTGTACCTTCGAGACAACGTAGATCGCACATTGTGCTGAAACGTTTCATTCTACACACTGAACCTGAGAGAGAAAGAGAGAGAGAGAGAGAGATCCCCAACTGTGCTGCAGCCTTTCCAAACGCACACAGACTAAGGGAAGCAGAAGATATTTTCTTACAAAACACTCACACATAATTAGCCAGGGGTCATCATTTTGTTGCTGTCATTTTAAAACCCCAAACCCGACTGTTGTCAGGGACTGTAGTATATAACCTAACGGTTCAACAGAGTTTCTCAGGCTTATGCCCAGTGGTTCTCATTCGAATAGTGGCACTTTGTGTCATCTGTATGTTTATGGCTCGTTGTGAGGTCCTAAAGGGATTTAAACACACTCACTCAAGTGTATCGGTCGTCCCCATGTGGGATGCAATTTGTCTTTATTTGAAGCCCCACCCTGGCTTTTAGCGAGGGCTTTGAATATAGCCGGACCATAAATATGGCCTAATGGCTGCAAGAGGTTTCTGGACCTCCCCACGGGTGATCCTCATCCGCACGGTGGCACTTTGTGTCACCGGGTGTTTATCGCTTGTGTGATGTCCTGGTGGGGTACAACAAGCAGTCACTCAAGTCATTTCGCAGAAGGTTATTGTAATAATACACAAAAGTTCACAACCATGATATATAAAGATATTAAACATGGTATCAAACCGAAAGTCATTTTTTTAAAATCCAAAGAGAGTAAATATACAGATAATAAATATAAAAGAAATCAAACATAAAAAAAAAGACATTAAATATACAGATAATAAGTAAAAATAATCTCAAAATATTGATATAACATCTTTGCAGAACGTCGCTCTCATCAGTCTGCCTGAAAGAAACTCGGTCTCTCGCCAGTTCTCCCGCCTCATGCACTTTCACACTCAAGGAGTCACTTATATCCTGTGCCCATCTTCGTGTCGGTCGGCCCCTGCCCCTCCTTCCTGGTACCATGCCTTCTGCAATAATTTTTTCCAATCCGTCGTGGCACCTGATGACCAAAATATTTCAGCTTCCGAGAAAGGATGCTGTTTATTAGCCAACCTTCCTTGATATTCAGATCAGTCAATATTTCTCATCTTCTTTGTCCAAGATATTTTCAGAATTTTTCTATAGCATTTCAGCTCAAAAGTCTATATTCTCTTTCTTAAGGACTGAGATAGTCCACGACTCACATCCGTATGTAGCCACAGGGAAGATGCATGCTCTCAAAATTCTAATTTTTATCTCCTTACCATAGACTTTTAAGGCTGTTCAATCTTTGCATTGCTATGGCCATCCTCCTTTTAATTTCTGTCAAACAGTCTCCATTGTTGTTTATTATAGAGCCTAGATATTCAAAATTTGTGACATTTTCAATTTCTTCATCATTTTTTTATTTTGGGTGACAGCCAGTTTTACCTATGGAACATCATTTTCATTTTCTTTAAATTCAAGAACAGATTTTTATATTCACTTTGCTTTTGGACAGCCAATATTAAATTGTCTATTCCCTTTACGCTATTCGAAAGGAGGACTGTGTCATCTGCGTAGCGGAGTTCCGGAATAGGGTTGCCAACAATTTTGAGCGGATTGTAACTGTCACAAGTCTAGTCATTTTTATCACATATACAGATATCAAATATAAAGATGTGAAAAAAAATATTAAATTAAAAGATATCAAACACAAGACGTTACAATAAGAGATTACATATATAAATATATACAAATATGAAACACAATGTTATCAAACACAGACATTACATTTTGCTCTTCTTCTTCTTCGTGCTGAACAGCTGTAAACTCCGTAGAAAAGTTTCAGTTGTTTATGCACTTCTGGACTTTAGTTTCGTGCTAAAACCTGAGTTATGTGTGCACGTATGTTTTACAGATCTGGCTTACTTTGTGCAGACTGTTGGTTCCTCGCCTCTCAGACAGATGCGTTCCGAATTCAGAGGAAGAGAATTCATAATAAGTCTTTTAGAGACCGAATGAAAATAGTCATGACAAAAGTCTTTTTCGCCTTCGCGTTTACCAGCTGTAAACTCTGGCGGAAAGTTCTGGTTGTTTGTCCACTTCTTGATTGCAGTCCTGTTCCAGAATATGAGTGTTGCGTGTGCATCCATTTTGCAGATCTGACTCATTTGTATGCAGACAGATGCACTCGGACTTTGAAGGAAGCTCCCATTTAGTCGACTCTGACGACATGCTTTTGCGTAGGCAATGGGCATATTTTTGTTTTTCCTATAATAATGCCCCGGAACCCACACGAGAAATGACAGAAATTAAATAGTTACCTAATATGCAAGGTGTAACGAGGAAAGATTGACTAGGAAGGATTCTGCCAGGAGGAAAGTCGACACAAAACTGAACTTTATGGGTAGACAACAAACCGAAAGGTTTGGGCAAGAAATTAGATTGACATCAAACAGGGCAGCACAGAGAGCAGTGTTATACAAAGATTGGCATCAAACAGGGCAGCACAAAGAGCAGTGTTATACAGAGATTGGCATCAAACAGGGCAGCACAAAGAGCAGTGTTATACAGAGATTGGCATCAAACAGGGCAGCACAAAGAGCAGTGTTATACAGAGATTGGCATCAAACAGGGCAGCACAAAGAGCAGTGTTATACAGATACAGCGGGAACAGTCCAGAGGTCGACCACGCATAACATGGACCGCAGAAATATCAGAGACACTGACAAGTACTATTGATGAAGCAAAGAGACGGGCCTGCTCCAGAGATCTCTTCCTGTCCTGACGCCGCGAGGCATTCCAGGAGTAGAGAGCAGAAGTATTTTACGACATGCCTGTTAGGAAGGCCCCGGGAACCTACTCGTGGAAAGATACAGAGATATCAAATATAAAGATATCAAAAATAAAAATATTTAAAACTCAAACAAAGAGACGTCAAACCCAGAGACATTAAATATGGAGACGTGAGCAATGAAAGTACTCGTGTGTTCATTTCCCCAGCATGACGCGAATTTTAAGTGATCTGGGTTCCCAGACTGACAAGTTAGTTTCGTGTCCTACACATGAATGTTGAATTAGGAATCGACACAACAGCATTCGGGACACTCCCATAAGTGCTCAGTCCCCATCTTCAGCAGCCAGAGTTTCAATTCAAATGGTACCAGTAACCGTCTGATTGTACAATCATATCCCCGTAACCAGCGGTTGTCATAGCCTACCAGAATCTCTTGGGAATACTTGTTTATCCGTCTCATCCTTTCCCTGAGTGTTGAGCGTCGGCCAGATCCCCTGGTAACTCCTCGCAGCGCCATTCTACTTAGACCGTAATGATATGTCTGAGCCTCTGTACTGTTCACTCGCTCCCAAAGGGCCCTCACAATATGTGTCCTTCACATGAAGTTGCATAACCAGTCGCATCATTTTTTTTTTCTGTTTGCGATTTTATTAGTTAATTTTACATTCAGTACTTCGCCATTTCTTACTGAACAGTCGGTAGTCAATATCACTAATTAAACCAATAGCAAGGCGGCCTGCTGCCGAATCGACAACAGATGGAATCAAATCTGGCATCACGCACGGAATTACGAAGCGTGTTGGCGCCTAAGCCACAGACGCCGATGCAGGGCTCCCAATGCTGAGGGTTTCCCCCCAGATCTGGGTTTTTATTTGACGCCTGGTGGAAATCTGGGTTTTTTTAAAAAATATATCCTTATATAAAAGTGGTAAATGTTTCGTTTCGTAAATATAAATTGTGTAAATTTTAACAATCTGGGTTTTTTATTTTGGTTTTTTGTTCTTTGTCTTTGTATTGCTTGGGTTTTTGTTCAGCTAAGCTGGGTTTTTCACAAAAATCCCATTGGCAGCCCTGCGCCGATGGTTTCAATGCTGACCTAGTTAAAATGAGCACCAGAAAATCTGTGTATACTTTTTATAAGGAAATTGGAGAGAAGGCGATCCCTTTATGTAATGGGGGAGGGACGCCGAGTTTCTAACAAAAATGTAAACCAGCTAGGAAGTAAGTAATTAAGTATACAACACCCCACCAGGAGATCACACAGAGCGATAAACACCCAGTGACACAAGGTGCCACCATGTGGATAATGATCGCTGGTGGAGAGGTCACAGAAACTCCTTTCAGCCGCTAGGCCATATTTATGGCTCGACAATATTCAGGGCCCGTGGCATAAGACAGGGCGCGGCTTCAAATAACGAAAAATTGCATCCCACATGGGTACGAGTGATTATATATCTGTAAGTATCCGGTGTGGGTTCTGGGGCCCTATTATAGGGAAAACAAAAATAGACCCACTGCCTACCCAAAAGCATGTCGTAAGAGTCGACTAATTGGGAGCTTCCTTCGAAGTCGGAGCACATCTGCTTGAGATGCGAGGGTCCAACAGTGTATGCAAATGAGCCACACCTGTGATACGGATGTACACGCAACATTCAGGTTTTGGAATAGGACTAGAGTCCCGAAGTGGACGAACAACCAGAACTTTCCGCCGGAGTTTACAGCCGATGAAAGCGAAGAAGAAGAAAACACGTAGATGAGCACTTGAGGGAGAGAGAGAGAAACATGTAGATGAGCACTTGAGGGGGAGAGAGAGAAACATGTAGATGAGCACTTGAGGGGGAGAGATAGAAACATGTAGATGAGCACTTGAGGGGGAGAGAGAGAAACATGTAGATGAGCACTTGAGGGAGAGGGAGAGAGAGAGAGAGAGAGAGAACATGTAGATGAGCACTTGAGGGAGAAAGAGAGAGAGAGAGAGAGAGAGAGAGAGAGAGAGAGAGAGGAAGAAGAAGAATGAGGGGAGAAGAAGCCGAAGACGAAGACATATGTAAAAGTGGTGTTACATTCACATAATCATATCCGCATGTTAACATTGGTCAGTACTACTTTCTCTGGAATACGCTGCTCCGTTTTGTTTGGCCCCTTTCTTGCATCGCAGTTTCTTCTGCTTGGCATTGTACTGAATTAGGTTGTAGAAGTCGGTGAAGTTGTTTACCAGCGAAGGGATAGTGAAAGCCACCACAAGCACGCCACATATGGCCGTGAGCGAGCCCACCAACTGTCCCCACGGCGTCACCGGAATCATATCTCCGTAACCAACGGTTGTCATAGTAACTATAGCCCACCAGAAGCTCTTAGGAATACTGGTAAAGATGCTGTTGTCATCCACGAAGAATATCACCGACCCGAACAGAAGAGTTCCCACAATCAGGAATAGCAGCATTAGCCCCAGTTCTTTGTAGCTGGCTTTCAGGGTATATATCATGATCCAGAGACCGGGGACGCGACGAATCACCCGAAATATTTTGATAATTCTCATCAGACGAAGGAGGAGAAGAAAGTCCAGCAGTGCGGGATCATCCAGATCCGGCCCGGCAGCTTGGACGATGAACTCGATGCAGTCTGGTAGAATCGCCAGGAGGTCTATGATGGCTGTCGGGCTGATGATGAACTTCCAAGGATTTGGCGCACTGACGAGTCGCGTGAGATACTCTAGAGAGAAGAAAGCCAAGCAGACGTAGTCTATGATGATAAGAACGGAGCTGATGCGAGCCCTGCGGGGTACGCTGGAGTTGTCTGTCTGTTGGGTGGACGACGTTGCTGTGGAGATATTGGATGCTTGTTTGGAGGAGCTCAAGTTGAGGCTAACGTTTACACTCTCTGGCGAGCTTAAAGTGTCGATTTGAAATACGCTGCTTGTGGAGGCGCAGAAGGAAAATATGGCTAAAATTGCGAAGAGAATGGCAATGTATTCATACACCTGAAAAATATAAGAATGGAGAGGAAACAAATATTTACACATTCTGGAAAGGAAACTCGTAGTTAGTACACGAATTCATTAACATTACTTAACTGGAAGGGAACAGAGACAGTCGAGGATGTCAAAAGTCATGGCGTTTCTGCAGATCTGTAGTGATAATTAAGTCCTTCGCTTTTTCCAAGTCAATCTAAGAGGCTCCATAAGTTATTCAGATCAATGAGAGAGTCCAATATCCATAACAGTTAGCGAGCTCCCGTAACTCATCCAGATCAGCAAGTGTGTCACATATCGACGTCAACGAAAGTGCTTTAATAATTTATCAAAGTCAACAAGAAAGCACACATAACTTATCCAGGTCAGCGTGAGTCCCATATCCATGTCAACGAAAGAGCCTCCATAATTTACAATAAAAGAATAACCATACCTTATCCAGATAAATGAGAAAGCCCCCCTAAAATATCCAGATCAAAGCACTAGCCCCATATCTTGTCCAGGTCAATGCGAGAGCACCCACAATTTATCAAGGTAAACGAGAAAGCTCCTATAACTTAGCTAGGTCACTAAGAGATTCCCATAACTTATTCAGGTCAGTGGGGCAACTCTCATAACTTAATCAGGTCAATAAGAGGGCGCCTACAACCTATTCAGTTCCCTGAGAGAGCACCGCATAACTTATCCAGGTCAATTAGGGAGTCCCTATAACTTCTGCTCCAGACCAGTACTTTATGGGATTATTTCTACGATGGTCTCCCTATTTACACACCGCCGGTTGTAGGTCTACTCCACTGATAAGTTGGTTGGACTAGTCTACCTTGGTCGAGGTTATGGGTGTCGCAGTCTGTTGTCTTCTTGCATTTACGTTTTTATTTCTGAGATAGAGACGGAATGTGACATAGGTTTTGTCACTCTCTAGGGAGTTGAGTGTTAGACCCAAATGTTTTAGAAGTGTTTTCACCTTGTGTGAAAGTCGTATCGCTCGAGGCCGACTTATCAGAAGTGAGGGGTCAGTAGGTCGTCCAATCAGAAGAGAGCTAGTATGTAGCGATGTATAAATGAGGAGACCAGCGTAAAATTTACCCTTTATGGTACTATTCGGCTGGGCAGCCCTTATTGATAAGTTCTGTGTTCCACGTGTGCACTCCCCTTTGGAAAAAAGCGGGCGATCCGTTCGAGAGGAAGACTCTGAGATGACACCAATCCCTATATGAGCGAAACAGATATACGTAACATTAATCTTCCTATGCCTCGCCCATATACACACTATGTCACTTCTGACTGGTATTCCTGAACCTGTCACCTTGGCACTAGGTTACGGGTGTGTTTCGCTATGCCGTTGATTTCGTGTGCTTTTAACGCTTTAAAAACATGGATCAACTGGCCCACCCACCCCCCCCCCCCACCCCACCAATCTTTTTATAGAGAGTGCTGCAACCTATGTCACAGGCATTCTCTTTTTCGAAATGAAAACGTAAATGCAAGATCACACAGAAAGCGCACAATAGTGCGGGACACACCCGTAACCTTCAGTAAAGTCGATCAGCCCAGCAAACTTGTGAATGAAAAGTGAACTTCTCTGTTTGGGAAGAGTGGCGTAAAGTTAATCGCGAAACGTACCAGTTCGCGTGTTCTAGCCCAAAATCTGTGAGGCGTGTACCTGGGTCCGCCAATTATTTTGCACTTATTTGTGAAGTCTAGTTTACGATGTCATGCTCAAGGATCAGGTATTATGTGTCCCGCAGAAATGTAACGTGGAACTTGAGGGAAAACTAAACAGGTTTGCATTGAGCGTTCTTACGTCGATTCTTCATATTCTATTACTGTGATGTCTAATATTAATGTAACCAAGGGGTCTCCGTGGCGAGGCGGTCAAGCCTTTTGAATCGCGTTCTGAATGTTGTGGGTTCGCTCCACAGCGGCGGCTGCGCCTTTCCGTTCACGAGCGCAATTTTTACGAAGATCCCTGGGGATCGTCGCCGGAGCTAAGAAGTTCGTACTCTGTGCGATGCTCTCGGCAGGCGGCTAGCTGTTATGAGGAGAGAGACCGATCCATATGGGTAAAACCCGGTGAAATGAAATCGATCCTCTCGAGTTTAACTTTAACTCCACCCCCTTCCCCCAGATCTCCCTATTGTATGCAATTTCGGAGAACACACAGTTTGAAATAATAAATTATAAAACTAAAAGGTAACCATTAAAGCGAAACTTAACTTTAAAAGCAACTTACATAATATATTTATATTTGATTTTCAAAATAACTTATAAGCTTGAACTTAACAACACTGAAATCTTAAATAACAAAGCATAAAGTTAGCAACGTTACAACTTTAACTTACCAAACAATAACATATTCAACTAAAGTAGCTTCATTTATCGAGCGTAAACGCAAGAACTTTAAAAGCTAAACTAACGGAGTTTAAACCTCCAAAGCATAAACTTCGAACATACAAAAATACATACGTGCTCCAGTGCACGCGAGCGCGCGCACACACACACACACATAATCATTGAAGTGCAAATTAAACAAAAATGACCTAAAGTGACACAGGCTGGGTTTACATATTCTTTAATTTAATAATCGTTATCGCTGTTGTCAACAAAAAGAAGCGAAACTAAGTGTTCAAAGCCTAAAGGGTAAAAAAGGAAACAATCCAACAACAAACAACGTCGCTCAAATAATTAAATAATAAAAAACTAATTTATGCCTAATTAATGTCAATTTTCACTTATGTCTGTAAGCAGTTAGTTAGCTGGGGTATGATCACTGCACTCCGGGCATGTCCATAGGTGCTCAGATCCTTCCCTCAATTGGAACCCCAGCGTCCTGTGACTAATAGTGCCAGTTCTTTGTTGATTGTTAAGTCTTTCTGTATGCCTGGTGTGTCTCTCACTTCTGGCTGTGCCGATCTTAACTCCCGAGTTTTTCAGTCTGGTGAGTGATGTGGAATCGCTGTCTCGAAAGTCCTCCACCCTTCCCAATTCTCTGAGGGCATTATTAATATCAGCGTAATCCATAGGTTGACCTTCAGCAGTGATAGCGGTTCCGGCCAGCTTATCAGCTCTTTCGTTTTCATCGACGGCCGCCTGTAAGCAGTTATTCAAAGCATATAATTTACACTCGGAGCCGCCGTGGTGTAGTGGCTAGACACCTGCCTGCAGATCCGGTCGAGTGTTCAGATCATGACAAAATCGGACTTTTTTTATTTTTCAATGACCTTGGCATCTAGGTCGACCCAACCTTAAGCGGGTATCAAGTACGGTCATGAAGAAGAAAGATGTTTCGGAAAGATGTCACTACCAAGTACGGTCATGAAGAAGAAAGATGTTTCGGAAAGATGTCACTACCAAGTTTGGTCATGAAAAAGAAGGATGTTTCGGAATGATGTCACTACCAAGTATGGTCATGAAGAAGAAGGATGTTTCGGAATGATGTCACTACCAAGTATGGTCATGAAGAAGAAAGATGTTTCGGAAAGATGTCACTACCAAGTATGGTCATGAAGAAGAAAGATGTTTCGGAAAGATGTCACTACCAAGTATGGTCATGAAGAAGAAAGATGTTTCGGAAAGATGTCACTACCAAGTATGGTCATGAAGAAGAAGGATGTTTCGGAAAGTTGTCTTTACCAAGTATGGTCATGAAGAAGAAGGATGTTTCGGAAAGAGGTCACTACCAAGTATGGTCATGGAGAAGAAGGATGTTTCGGAAAGATGTCACTACCAAGTTTGGTCATGAAAAAGAAAGATGTTTCGGAAAGATGTCACTACCAAGTATGGTCATGAAGAAGAAGGATGTTTCGGAAAGTTGTCTTTACCAAGTACGGTCATGAAGAAGAAAGATGTTTCGGAAAGATGTCACTACCAAGTTTGGTCATGAAAAAGAAGGATGTTTCGGAATGATGTCACTACCAAGTATGGTCATGAAGAAGAAGGATGTTTTGGAATGATGTCACTACCAAGTATGGTCATGAAGAAGAAGGATGTTTCGGAACGATGTCACAAATGTTTACAAATAACAGTAATATAATATATGCTTCGTAGGGGAAACAAAAGCGGCAGAACGAAGACAATAAAAACACCAATGAATTTTGGAAAATTCACGAGTTGCTAGCATAGGTTCTTCTTCTGCGTTCACCCGAAAATGTAATTGTGTTGGGCCCGTTTGCAGCATGGCTGCGATATTTGCACATTTGGGTCAAAAAATCGACTTCTACGGGAATTTGTTACCCTATGGTAGCCTTTCCGGTGGCAAAGGTTTGATAAGTCTTCTACATTGAAGGGACATTCTGCGAAGCAGCTTTAGCATGGTAATGATAATGACAGGCCACAAATCGTATCTTAATTAAAAACCTATAAACACATTTTAACATGCGAATCTATCATACGGAAGCAGTGAACAAATAAAATACCGAACAAAGAATTAAAATCCAAGTAAAATTATAAAATAACCCAACAGAAATCCCCTAGGGGTCTCTAACAGGGCGCATACACAACTCGGTTCGGATAATACTCGCTTTGGCAGGGCGTTTCTTCTTCTTCTCCTTTAGGAGCTCTTGGTTGGCATCGTACTGTATGAGGATGGAGTAACAGATGAAGTTGTTCACCAAGGAGGGAATGCTGAAGGCAATGAGCAGTACCCCACAAACTGCCGTCACGGAGCCCACCAGCTGCCCCAGGGAAGTGATGGGCACCATGTCTCCGTAGCCCACGGTGGTCATGGTAACAATGGCCCACCAGAAACTGCTAGGGATGCTGGTGAAGATGCGGTGGTCGTCGACGTAGTGTATCACCGAGCCGAACAGTAGTGTTCCCACCAGCATGAACAGAAGCATCACGAAAAGCTCTTTGTGGCTAGCCCGCAGCGTGAAGAACATGATGCAGAGTCCGGGGACCCGTCTGATGACCCGTAGGATCCTCACCACACGCATCAGCCGCAGGAGCGTTAGAACATTCACGGTAGTGGCATGCTCTGCATCCGGATACATGCCCTGCAGTATAAATTC